ACCAAACATTTGCAATCGGGAAGCGCCAACAGAAGAAGAAATAATCTCCGTTATCCATAAGCGTAAAGCCAATAAGACTCCGGATGAAGTTTTCTTCTTCGGTGTTGTCCATTGTCCTTCATAACGCACCCTTAAGAAATGTACTTTCTGGTACGCAAGAAAGAAATATTACCAGATGATTGGAGCAAAGCAATTCTGCTCCCAATTCCCAAAAAAGGTGACAGGACATACTACGAGAATTATCGAGGAATCAACATACTAGACGTCTCAGCGAAAATTCTTGCTTCCATTTTACTCAATTGTACAGAAAAAGGATTTTATAGCAGTACGGAATTTTCGTTGGGAGCACGGCGATTCCCATTCCAATATTCTACTTTTACAACATTTCTTTTTGGGAATCCGCTCCACTATCTTTTTTCTGCATAGATTTCACTTCCCTACCACGCGGGACTTTTCTTTTTTATCAATATTATAAAAACTCTGCGGCCAACGTTCTACTTCTTATTTTTCTCGTTACGAAGCTCAAACTTGGATAATTAAACCTTTACTAGTAAAGACGCAAATATATACAAGAAAATAAAGCGAAGTAACTGCCCTATTACAACCAAATAATACAGTCAAAGAAATCAAATATAAAAATGCCCATAACTCACCGCTCCCCCACTCGTTTCCCCTAATAAAACACAAAAATGACCAAAATTGATCTTTTGGAAGCTAATATTTAATATCTAAGATGGGCGGGAATCCTGTTGATTTGCTCAAATTTACAGCTTTTTTCGCCTTTCGGCGACACTCAGTAGATTTATGGCAGTAAGAGACAGCAAGTTGCGCTAATCTGGATTCAGGACCATGCGCGGTTATGCTGATTAGATATTCATGTTAAAAAGAGTGTTGGAGCATCGCTTCAAATATCTACCACCCACCGTTACGTGTTTTATTGACCTTCGATGAAAAGCGACGGATATCATTTCAGAGAATATCATTTGGCTCATAAAGGCGTTTTATCAGTATACCATGGCGCAGATCTGTGTATGTGGGGAACTAACAGACACTTTTGAAATAAGAATTGTGTCCGTCAAGGCTGTATCTTTCCCCTACAATATTCAACTATACGAGATAAACTGGATGATGGATACCACTTGTCGGCACTCAAGAGGTGTACAAATCAGTCCAGAGCATCACCTTGAATACGTTGATGATGTAGTCCTTTTTACCAACAGTTGTGACAAACAACGTTAAACAACGTGTGAGCAACTGCAGCGAGAATCATTTTCGTATTTATTATTGACAAAAAGCTCTTTTTTATAAACTCATTACCGATTGAGGAAGTGCCTGATTTTGAATACCTTGGATCCACTCTAATACCAAATAGCCAGGCAAAAGACGATATAATCCGAACTACAGCAATTAGAAATGCCTTCTTCCGGTTGACG